CATTTTTCCTGGAAATTGAGTTAACTGAAAACCAATGTCAGAGTGTGTGGATCGTCCACAGCCCAATCTGAACAAGAGAAGGGAGTCCTTCCACACAAACGTGGGAAGCAGATGGAATTGCGCCAGCATAGACCCCAAATAGCAAAAGGATGCAAAAGATATTTGTGGGCAGCATGACACCAGCACCCACACTCCAATTTGATCGCACACTGTCATAAACATCTGAGATGCAGCACCCTGCAGCGGCCTGAAGCGACACCAACACGCAGGCTCCAACACTCAAACTGCCAGAGACATCAGGTAGCAACCCCGCAGCACCTTGCACCAGCACCAGCACCCAAGTTCCACAGCGCACACGGCCACTACATAATGCCGTGGCCTTTCAGCGGCAACCTGCACCAGCACCAACACACGCCCAAATGCGCACACTGCCAAGCAACACCCTGCAACGGCACCCCGCAGCGGCACCCTGCAATGGCGCCAGAAGTTCCAAAGCGCGCATCGCAAGCAGATTCGGCCGTTGCGCACTGCCATAGACATGCATACTGCCATGGACATCTGAATCTGGCACGAATAGCGGCGCAGTCCAGCGGCACCAGCAACCGCTCCAAAGCCCACACAGTGTGCACATTTGGGGGATGCTAACGGGAGCAGTCATCGGATCTCCTCGCTCTAACGGGCGCACCTCCACAAGTTCACAAGTGGCTAACCCCTGTCGACCAACCTTCCGACCGCGCAACAAAATAATCATCACAAACCCATCGAATCTTACGCACAGATTCTCTCGGCCGCGCATACAAGACTCAGCCATGTACGCATGATATTGTCAATTTGGTGGTCGCTTCAATTCATCACCATCTGCAGCAAAACTAAAGAAGGGGTTCGTGATGCGCCTCACTTGCTCAAGCCACTTCTTTGGTAGATTTCGACAATCTTCCTGGTGTATAACTGAGGCCACCTGTTCTTAATAGTCAACCCAAGCATGTCTCGTATGACTTCTGCAGTTTCTCGGGCAATCGTCTCGCCCCGTCCACAGCAAATTTAGCTCTCACCCTCACGTGTAGTGCGCCCAATAAATATTATGGCAAGAGACCCCAAACAGTGTGTCTAAAGGTTTAAGGTCTGGAGGTGTAGAAGCAGAAGGTCTAGAGATCTATATAGACTCTAGACGTAATGGGCTCCAAACAATAGGTGATGATGGCGGTGATGATGGTGGTGACGCTGGCGGTGGTTATGGTGGTGATGGTGGTGGTGATGGTGATGGTGATGGTGATGATGTATCGGACTGTATCGGCGCATCAGCAACAACGTGTTTATAAGTTTATAAGGACACGCTTTGCAGGCGCTATGAGCTACAGATTGTTTGAAATGCGCGTCCTTGTTGGCATAGCTCAAGCTATGTCGAGGCTGTGACTGAACTTTAGCAGAATGGTATGGATAGGGTCGATTCTTTGTCGTCCAGACCCCAGCACTAGAAGAAAATATCCCCTAGAAACCCCAACAAAAATATATAGCCAAATACCAAAACATACAATGCATATACATAATCATCGTAATCCTCTATGTTTGTAAATTTGCTTTGTTATCAAGGGGTATATTGGCCATTACACGAGTCATGCGGATTTGAATGCCCATGTACAAGCTTGGAACTATAGGGGGATCATTGGATGATAGTAGCGTGTCGGTCCTTAATGAATAAATGAACGAACGAACGAACGAACGAATGAATGAATGAGTGAATGAATGAGTGAGTGAATGTACAAAATAATTGCAAGCTAAGCAAAAGAGTCACTAATTGCTCTAAGATAGGGCTTTACATTTTGAGGGCCAAAACAACAGGACCTGGGTTGCGCTAATCGTATCCTGTGAATCGGATGTGATGACAATTCGGCGTATCCACTCAATACTCAAAGGCCCTCAATGGCCTTCAATCCCGCTTTGCTCCTGCTTTGCTCTGCCAAGAAGCTCTGAGGCTTTGGATCCTCTTGGCAAACTGGACACTCAGACCGCATAGAGCGGCTTAAGAACCTCAGTCGGTCGACACTGAACGGATCCAAAATATTCCGCAATCCAAACAATACTGACACCAAAGCACTAAAGTCTAGCCATAGCATGCATGGACAGATATGAACAGAAATCAGAAAGTACCTGCTTGGACCCGAAACCAAGGTCAAGGCTCCCGAACTTGTCATTGTCTAGATTGAGAGCTCTGGTTGCAAAGAGCCAGCTGCTGCATAAGGATATTACTTTACTGATTGGCATCTGTTCCGAGGTCCTTTGTATTGGAGCTAGCTCTGGCAAATCTGATTTCGCCATTTATGGTGAAACTTGCCATTTGGTGAAACTTGACCAGTTCTCTTCCAAATACACTCACGTACCGCCTGCTGATGCTGCGACCTGCTGTTGCGAATCACGACGCCAAAGGGGTGTGGCGCTGAGCAATTTGCAAACAAGGAACACATCCACGTGTATCCGTTGATGCACGCCTCGATGATACAGCGAACAATGGAGTTTTGCGACCGGTGTACAGTCGCTGCTGCCGCTGCCAGTCGCTATTTGCAAGTCATTAAGCTTGAAAGCCCTGCAAACCAGTTTACAAGCAGTCAACTCAGTCAACAAGAGATACAAGAGTATGCCTTTTCATTGCAACATACGATGCAAATAAGCACCAGTGCGGATCTGGTTGACTTGGTCATGTTCAAGCTGGTGTATACTATACACATCTATACACTATGCGGTCCACTCCAGTAGCTGTCAAGACACTGATTTTGCGAGGCAGCAAGCACCTGAGTTTCAGAGTCGCGAAGCAGCGCGAAACAGTTGCTAGAAGCAAAGCCCTTGTTACAAGTAGTAATGCACTTGTTACAAAAAGCGACACCAGGAGCTACGCAGCTACCCAAGAAACCCTCCCTGTCACGCCCAATGCGAAACTAAGGCACCCATGCCCAAGCAGGGCGGCAATCTCATGCGGACACCGCAAGAGTCGTTCGGGATGGTCGGCATGGCCTTTCGACCATTCCTGGTGAGGTCGGACTTGCTGGGAGACTCCGTTAGAGCCAGACACTTCAGGTTAGAGCCTATAAACCTTGATTGAATAGTTGTACAAACCGTTTCACTCGGACTTGAAGTGGGGAGAAAGCAAACACAGTTGCTACCCAACAGTATTTGTGTTCAACGCATTCTTGGAGTCAGATGTAGCATTGGTTTTCTCGAATTGGTTCCACACATTCAAAGCGGCTCAAAGATTACGCTCTTTGCTTTGCCTTGTACCTCCGAAGTACCCGTAGGGCAACTTCCCTAGGGCTGATGCCACCTGCCAGGCAAGGACTTGATTTGTCAAAAGGAACTGAAAGTCACTGAAGACTTGATTGCAGTGAAAGTCATCAAAACTAAAGAGATCAGCTGCTGTCAAGTCAATTGAGCCTAGTGTTTGGAGAACCCAAGAATTTGCGATGTCTACGGAGCCTTCTTCCATTTACATCCCAGCAGGTGGAGCTTTGAGCTTTGAGCTTTGAACTCTTGGTTCTAAAACTCTCCTTGGGCAATGACCAAGCGCCTGAGGTTGGGATCTTAGCTGCAGGACTGCGCAGGACTTGCTCAGCCGCGGTTAAGACCTTGGAACAACAAGGTGAGCACGGAAAACCTCCACCAATGCAGCATCGCAGCAAAAAGAGCCGAATCGGATTAGATTGAAGCGTCCGTTTCCAACATTGCAAGCTAAGCCGGGTCACGAGTCCACCTTTGGTGTGAACTGAAATGTATTGTGATGGATGTTGCTTGGGAGGGCCTTGATTCTTTCCATGCTGGTGTCTGCAGCTTTGGGAAGAAAGCTTTACAATCAAGCGCTTGTTGGATGAATTGGCTGGGAGCCAGCAAGCTATTGCAAATATATAATTACAAAGTCAGCTAGTTTAATTACAGAAGTGCTGAGTGGTGCTTGCAGTGCTAATGAGACACTACGTTCTCTGGCTTCACTGTCCTGTTCGACTGGTTCGGGCTATATTCGACCATTTCTTGGGTGCGCGCGAACCAGGCGTTTGGATTGGAATTATGTGAGCTCCTTTGTATGTACAAAGTGTAGGCTGCACGCCCTACAAGTGCTGAAAATTCCGGTCGTGATGGGGAGCAGCCAGCCCATGCAAATCATTTTAATCGCCACAAGACTGTAAAGCTGTCAAAATCTGCTCAGAAGATCCTCACGTGTGTTGCCGTCAAGTAGCATAATCCCGGAGAAAGCAGCGCATGCCGAAGGCGTCCCGCAGGTCGTACTCAGATCGGGAAAAGGCATGTGTAACAATCGGCAAGCATAGACCAGCAAACCAGAATCACTCTCAGATTGATGCTACGACTCTGCTACGAGTTTGGTTTTTGCCCCCTCTTGGCCTGCCGTGGAAAGAAAGAGGAGCAGCAGGAGCAACTCTGGAGGCATTGCCCCAGGAAGGCCTTGTTGCCTGGGAGCTTTTTTGGCTTCCAGCGGTGATGTGACGTCAAACACTTCTGCGTTTTGGAACAGCCCAAGTCCGGCGATGCCGCGATGCCTGTAAGAACACCTTGGACCCTTGTATTTGGAAGCATGATTCATGATGGAGTTTTACTGGTCTGCTAACAGCAGAACAAAGCCTCAACCAACAAAAACCTATCTGGATTTACCGGTTTTTGACTTTCTGTGACCAAGAAGCTGGAACTACGAGTGGCCAAGAAGCGGGAAGCCACCCTCCAGTCTCCTTCAAGACTTACCTTCTGCCAACAATGCCAATGCCAAGAGGCTCAAATAGTAGGAGCCATGGAAGTGATTGATCAGCTGCCAGGGTTCTAGCACAGACTTCTCCGCATCTCGAGATCGAAAAGTCCTCAAACAGAGCTGCAGCTCGGCCCAGAGCAGCTCCACTTCGACCGGTGAAAGCAGATTTGATCTATCCCAAGGTCCCAAGGGTAGTGATGGCATACATGTAGCCATGATGAGTACACGATACAGGAGGGAGGGAAGGAGGGGTCCAAAGCAAAGATTTGCTGTACAGTTCTCAAACTTATGTGACCATGATGAAAATGACAGCAGTATCCACCAGCTCATCTACTCTGATTTGTGCCTTTGGCATCTGAGGCTCCATTTCAACTGACAAGCCGATGGCCTCTCCACGGGGCTCCTTGGATCGCCGGGCAAACCGATTCGAGATGCTTACCAGTTTACTTCAAGCTTTTGATTCCTAGGTATCTGGACTGCTGGAGCTGGGAAAGCACACAAATCATAAACACGAAAGAAAGGTATATGTTTGTTCATTTTGAGTGTTTCTCTGATGTTTTGAAGTCCATTTAGTTCTTTGGAACTTAAAAAACTAGCTTGTTCTCCTGTCGATCGTTTGTTGGGCAGAGAATCTCCGTCCAGCCCCAGTGTGTGAGCACTCGCCGAACTAGATCACAGGAAGTCCCTGGTTCTAGCTCTGCCAAGGAAGTCGCAGGAAAAGCATGCAAAGCACGGGAGGTCAACATGGTTCAAGGTACACTGTCAAGTCAAAGTGCAAGAAACTCAAGCTTTCTCTGTAGAGGTATATGCATAATGTGTATATATATAATACTTACTGTGTATTCCAGAGCTCTTTGCAATCAGCAGTGAATCATCACACCTTCGCAAATGAAGGCTTTCTGACCAATTGGTGGCATTGGCGTTGGGAGCACCAGTGCTTTCTTGGCTACCTGCAATATGTCTGATGCACATTGTCAAAGGGTGTGTTGAATATCTTGGAGTATTCAGTACTCTGAAAGAGATACAGTATGTGTTGAGAGATATATGCCGTCACACAATGTTGTGTGTCTCAAGTATCCACGACCTCGGTTCAAAGGTACACGGTACCATATCGGTACCATTTGATGTTCCTTGAGGAAATCCTCCATGTTCATAACACACTTCGAGGTACCAAGAAAAGACCAACGACAACTGTCAAGTAGCTTGCCACAAACAAGTTGCCCATGGCTGGATTTCCTCATCATAGGCAAAAACATCTTTTCCAAAGGCTCTGGATATCTCTGGATGGTGTCAGCCTGTCCCTTTTCTTTCCGATCCTAGCTGCTCTTCCTTTTTGCCGCTGGCCTTCTTCTTGGAGGCCTGCCGCCCTCTCTTTGTGCCGTGGCTATCGCCTTGAGCGGAAGCCTCGGCATCGGGGGGCCTGGCACAAGAGAGTGTCCATGTGAACCGAACCATTCATCTGTCCATATTCATTGCTCTTGTCCTGCTTCCTTGCTGCAAACCCTACATCCGCATGCTGACGATAGGAGGACAAACATCCATGAGACAACCACATGTCAGGAGGACTTTTCGCCAACCACAACAGCTGTTGCCATTGCATATCGGTTGGCAAGGCTATTTGCTGCCCATATTCACAAAAAAACAAAAACAATGCCAAATATGGTTTCGAACGTTCAGTGATAGACGTGATGTTTTCTTTGCGTCGATCTGGTTACAAAAAAGGGTGCTCGACCGCTCGACCCTGGCATCATATGTGGGGGAATATCCATGTACGCTACCTGCACGCTCGTGCCTCTCCCTTGTGACTATGGTGAAACATATTTGGCACATCTGAGCCAAAAATGTCCAAAGGATGTTCACGAAGACTTGACTTATCTAAGCCTATCTGGCCTAGCTTTGCATCTTTGCTGTCCTTGGGCACTAAGAAGAAAGGTATATATATGTATATATATATATGTTTTAAATTGTCGCTGTGAGTCGGGGTGAGTGTGAGTGCTTGACCTGTCAAAACTCCAATATAGTGTAGTTTAATCCTTTTCTCTGTTGCCCCAAGGCAAAGAAATAAACCAACACGCATCCGGTAAAGCAAAGAATCTGTCGGCGCTTCATGTCGTTTCAACCGGGAGAGAGGAACCAAACTATCTGCGTCCCATTGAACTAAAATGAACTAATGTATTCTTGTAATGCTTCAGATCCAAGTCCTAGCTAGTCAGCTAGTCCAATGGTCCCTCCTCGCTCTCCTTTTAGGCGTCTGCCGAGCTCAGGTTTAAGCAAGATTCGCAAAGTTCAACTAAGAGGGGGTCTGATGGACACAGACTTCCTGGTAACAAGCAATAACTTTCTTGTCGTCATGGAATCAGACACCCTCTCTTCATTTTTACAGATATATGAACAGCTGAGAACTTCACAAAATCTACACAACCTCAGCTCTGTCGTCATGGGAGTCAGACTCATCTGTGGCAGGAATCTATTCTTGCGAACTACAAAATCTCTGTTTCAGCAAACCCAAAACAAATCGACGCGCAAGCAGCCCAGTGCTTCTCTGAAGGTCAAGGAGCTGCAAAGCGCAGGGCTTGTTGCCGAAACCTTCGCGTGATCGACACTGCAAGCCCACAAAAAGGCAACACAAACACAAGAAAAACATGGAAAAGCTCTGGAAATCTTGAAAGTCCTCTTAGAACTAAATTGTCTTGAGGTTCAGGCCGCATTTCTCTGCAGTGTAAATGACTAAGAGGATCCTGAGATCTGCCAATCTATTAGGTTGTCAGCTCGCTAAAGTGGTCAAACACAAGCTGTCAGATGGAATGCCATGCAGTGCATTCAATCTCACGAAGGACTTGAAACACTATGACACAGCCAATCTGCACCTGCCCCACACCGGGATGTCGCAATCCTGTCGACCTCTTGTGGAAAGACTCCTCTTGATCCAAGCGCCGCTGAGCTGCTTGTTGCAGGGAGGCCATTAGGGCCGCTGAAGCCAAGCGTGAAAGCCATGTCCTCACTGGAACATGGAATGCATGCTAAGATGGAGCAGTCTCTTGAGTCTCTTATGTTCCTAGAGTCTGTAATTGCTCTAAAATGATCTGACAAATGCTGAAAATGATGATTACAGATCGGGCAAGTTCTCTTCTGAGCAAAAGCTTGCAAGAATTGGTAGAGAGTGGGCAAATCATGGAGGAGTCGTCAATCCTTCCTCAAAGCCTGTCCTGAGGACAAGGGCCAGCTGTGGCTCCTGCAGTGAGCTGGACACTGCGGGCTTACAAGGCAACCTGTTCTAAGCAGTTGAATCGCATTGCAGCAAGATTGACCTCAACAAAACGCTTCAACACACCTAGTGGCGAAAGGCTGTTATGAAAAGCTATTGATGTCCATGCCTTGTGCGGTACTTACTTTTGTGCAGCCGGGCCTTCACTTCTGCCTGCCACAATGCGTTAAAATCGATGATGAGCACCTGCTTGAAGTCAAAGTCATCAGAAACTGGGTCTTGGGAAACATACTATTGCGGACATGCAATCAATGCATCAGTAAGGGGAGCAGCTAACCCAAATACAGCAGCCTCACACAGTATTTCGAGTAAAAAGCGACTGTCAGATTTTGGGCCATGCACTCTTTTGGTGCTCTGTTACAAGCTTGACTCCTCCGCAGACAGAGAATCCTGAACAGACGATGTCTTGAGGTTAGGGGCTCCTGGCATCACTACTAGGAGCAAGAACGCTACTAGGGGCTCCTGGCCGTACTACTAGGAGCAAGTAGCTACTAGTAACAAAAAGCTGAATAGGCGTATTTGCCCTGCACCTCCAAGGCACCAACAGCCTTGCCAGTGCAGGAAAGACCGGCCTGGGCCGTCTCTTAAGGTTCAAAGAGCAGGCCAAACCAAGTAAATAGTAAAGCTCATTTGACGGATATACAGAAATGATATAGCATGCCTTTTCCAGAACTCAATGTCTTGGCACAAGTCGAAAGTCTCAAGAAAGAATCTGAAAGAACTTGCAGCAAGATTGGCTCGGCCAATTCTGCAAGCAGGTTGCTCCAACATAGGTATTTCGACTTTGGTCAAAGGAGCCGCTTGCATACTCCACAGCCTGGGCGATCGTGCTCACATACACGAAACTACTTAACCGAGCGCTGGATGAAAAGACCGGCTTCAAATACCTGGTACCTTGTTCGGGCAGGTTCATTTATACATATATATATTTTTATGTGTATGTCTATTACATACATTATCTGAGTAGTGTGTAAGCCTGTAAGCCATCGTTGTCCTGTACCACTCCCTACCTCACAGTACATTTCACATGTACGCGCATGTTCATGTACTCCAAATACGACTGATCCCAGACTCTGTTCCAAAAGCCTGTGCTATCATCATGATGCATCTGCTAGCCTCACATGCCAGAGTGTTCCCCTATCCTGGTGTCAAACTAGATTTTGACTTCTCCAACGTGCCAAGGCACACCGAAAACTGCTCCAACTCTGGCGCGCCGAGCCCGTGTTTCAGGCACCTGAAACATGCAGTGTGGTGGTAGAAAGCACGTAGAAACATGCAGAACCAACTCTTCAAACGCCGCCGTTCTGCGCAATTTTGGAAGGTCTATCTATGGGAGATCATTCCACACGCGCCCAGCCCGCATCTCGCCACAAAACTCACTCGAGTCTAGTGTGCAGTTGAGCAGTTCATGCTGCAATTTGAAATAAAGAATCTAAGTACAAGTGAAAGCAGTGGAATGACAAACCCAACAGCCCGCTCCACCAGTGTTGGACACCTGCCTCTGTTATGTCAGAGTCCTTCACCTTAAGAATCATGACGATGATGACGATTATGCTTCATGTCAGAGTCAACACTCATCCAAGCAAAACACAAAACTGTTTGCTGGTCAGTGCATCAGTCCACACCCAGTTCAACCATGTTCAACCATCTTTTTTCAACACATCTTGAGGAAATGACAGCTTGCTCGATCAGTTCCAAAAGCTTTTGCGTTTGGACTGCAGGCAAGGGTCAGTGGGGCGCCGTCGCGGAGAAAAAACTTCACGGGTAGGATGGGTGACCTGGACGAGAAGAGGGAAGTCAAAACTTGCTTTGCCAAGGCCGCGTTTACAACAACCAATTCACTTCAAAAGGATCCTAAGACACGCTTACGCATCTCCAACTCGCAATCCAACACATCACAAATGAACCAACAGGATCCAATAGGTATTAAGTCCCTTGCAGTGGCCTACCGGCATTGACACTGTGCGCCCGGGCATCAACAGAACCATCCAGGATCACGATCAGCTCTTTTGCAGGATCGCCATGGCGAAACAACACCTGACAAAGAACAGGTGGGCCAATGACTTGCCAGCTGTCTTTTCGCAAGCAGGGGCCTACTGTCTCTACCAGTATTCACTGACACCCTTGTGTTCCCAAAGAACGACACTCAGGATGCGAGGGGATCCCAAGTCTGGTTGCAAGGGGTAGTTGCATTGTACAATAATACGTACACAGTAACAAGAAGCTACGAACGGGGCTCCTGGCCTTACTACTAGGAGCAAGGACGCTACTAGGGGCTCCTGGCATCGCTACTAGTAGCATTTTTACTAAGCATATACTATGCGCATGATGTCCTGGCGCCCTCCGAAAATGCTTTCGGTCATTTGCTCAACGAACCGAAACTCCCCGCCTGGCCATCTGCCTAGAACGGTGTTGTCGTTGCAACAAGTCAACCCTTTTATTCACGCTCAATTGGCACAGCTAGAGGCTCCATGTTCCATT